TTAAATTTGGTAAAGTTCACTGTTTAGTAAATAAACCCATAGATTTTGTTTGTGTTAATAAAACATGCAAACCCCTCTGAAAAATTCCCCAACAATAAGCCAACTTCTGAAAGAAAACCTTGAAATTCCGCATACTTCATTGAAGTCTTGGAAAATGGTCACAATTTAGACACATACCTGCCAGTGCATATCAAACTGTGGATTCTAAATGGGATATGCAAAACAGCAAAAAATCAATTAAAAAAATCAATAATTGAACAAGGACTGAATCACACATACCAGCATAACCCATAAGGAGTTTATATAATATTGAAGGACCAGGAATTCTCCCTATAGCATCTTTTCATTTTTATTTTGTTTAATTTTTGGGGGAGTGGGCGGGGCATATCACCGGCAACACCCACTTGTAGCCACTAGGTGAAGGCTGTTTAATAAAAGAAAAAAAAGGGGACATTCTAATTTAGGGCTGCAGGGGTGGAGGGGGGTTCCGGGGTAGGGGAGGAATTGGGTTTGTTTGTGTTGCAGTTTTAATTTTTTGTGCACTACTAATTTATGGGCCTTGTGCCTATGTTTTTGTGTCTTTTTCATAGACATAGGATTCTTTAGATTGCATCTTTCCAAGGAGAACCTTCTGATCTACTGTATCAGGCTTCTCTGTTAAACACTCTTGTAATACCGTTCATTTCATGTATTTAGCATTGTGGAGATCAGAGCTTTATGAATAAAAGATGACACTTCCATTTTATGATATTTATTATGGTGATTAAAGCACCATTATGCAGCAATATATACATTAAGTAAGACGAAGGAAGACTATTTAGTGCATTATAAAGAAAACATACACATATTGAATAGACCTGATAGCAATCTAAAGAGGAAAGGAACATTTTAAAATATATCAGATCATGAGATATTATTTGACCGCTGCAGTTACATAATTTAAAAGTTATCTTAAACAGATAAGAGGGCATATTTTTATGTGCATTCCACTTGAGTCAGGTGTATCAGTGAGATTGATAAGCAGAAGAATGCAGTAGTTAAAATGGAAGATAATGAACTTGACAGGTAGTAGAATATTCGGGAGAATATGAAGTTTGTGAATGACAAAGAGATGTATATTTGGGCATTGTTACCATAGAGTACTGGAACATGAATAGCCTTAAGGTTCCTGGTGCCCTACTTGCTTTTCATGATTTAAGCACCCCTTGTACTGCACACTCTGACACCTAAACATACACAGTTTTAGAATCCTACAAGTAAACACAGTAACTAAACCACACACACACTCTCTCTCTCGCTCTCTACACCTGCATTCAAAATGATACTAACACTCTATGGCAAATCATATTTAAAAACTGACATCCAAGTATATTGAAACCCCCACACAACTACATACATTCAGACCAATAACACGCACAAACACATATTTCCACTTACACTTTGATATCTAAGCACACACCATGACAACTACATAATCTAAATACCAGTGTCCTAATGGTACCCCCAAATAATCCCTATCTTCTAACAGCCAAAATTATTTAAAGGACTACTCCAAGCATCATAAACACTACCGAGAGCGTTGGTGTCCCCTGCGCGCCATTTAAGCAGTGAAACCCTTTCTACCTGGCGGTGCAAGATTTTGCCTGTTGGCTGAGAGTGATCATTCTCCTCTCTCAGCTAGTGAGCTAGCTTGGCTAAGGGATGCTCCTAGTAGAAGCTTTCAGCTCTCACTTACGGCTGCACCCTGCAAACACAGGGTTAGATGTCAAAGGTTACTAAACAGATTGACTACTTACATTAGGGGTGTGCCAGGGCACTGAAGTGGTTTTGATGATTGGCATGTTCCTTTAAATTGTTTAATTTAGCTAACTTTGTCTCAGGTGCTCTTATTTGCATACACTGACCTTTTTTAGTCTGTACTTCTTCCAGAGAATATTTTCTTTATGCTTAACCAGTAGTAATGTAGCCCACTCCCAAGTGATTTTATGCACTGCCTTACACACAGAGGGTCATATTATAAATACTGGGTTATGATGAGAACACGGAATTATTGTGTGAGGTCAGAAGGTTGAACATGGCTGTGAGGCATCAAAGGTTGAAAGAAAGCAGGAATGTACAGTACATTTCCAAATATGTAGGTTCAGTTGAAGATGAGTAATATGAATCTGTAGTGAATTTGTTTTCAGAACTGGAAGATGTAACGTTGAATGTTTTACTCATCTGTTATGTTACTTACTGTCCATTTCTTATGTACCACAGAATACTGTGGTACTTTTCATATCAACTCGTCATATCAGGACATTGTTATTTGCCACAGCAACACAGTATTCCTGATGACTATTCCTATCTGCTATTAAACACAAATCCTGGACTCTATATTATAAACTGGACCCCACAACCTTTGTTAATCACAGAGCAGTAGGCATATGAGACTGTACTCCAAGCCACCATGAAATCGAAAGAGTTAAGATGAATAAAATGTAATGGGGGAGCGACAGCCACACAGCTGGGGGCAATACTGGGTTCTTGCACAGTGGCTGTCACAGAGGCTGCATATCACACAGCCCAGTGTCTAGGATTGTAATTTGTCAAATGTCATCAGCAAATTACAGCTTCTCTCAAAGGGAGAAGGCGGGGAGTGGGAGAGCAGGATGGAAGTCAGGGAGAAGGAGAGAGAGAGAGAGAGAGAGAAAGAAAGAGACACTGAAAGGAGCAACTAATGGGATAAAGGAGAGGGAGGGATATTGGACCGGAGCTAATAAACCGCAAAGAGACTATTTCAGCTGTTTGCCTGCATGACTTCACTAAGAGTTCAATCCAAATATAACATGTCAAGTTTATTAAGTCCTTCAACAGCCCGTGGATAAAACTCACATAAAATTATTCAATCTATATGTAGCTATACAGAAATATATCTGTCTAGCGATCAATCAATCTATCTATATATAGCCTTGTGGCAGGCTTATGCAATGTATAATTATATACTGTATCTAAATACACACATATATTTGCCATTTATGAAACTGGCAAGCGATTATTATACACGTCTTGTCTTCAAATTAATGTTAATTATTTGCATGATTTCCTCTAGATATCCAGACTGATACTTTACATATACTGTAAAAATGAAAATCTTACATAGCAAGTGTTTTGACTTAAAATAATTGACTCCGAAATTACAGTTAAACCCTTGTATTATACCAGCATGTCTGAATAATGATTTTTATTCCACGTGTGATGTAAAAATGAATTCTGGTGTGACAGAGTAAATGATCCTTTACTTGACAGATAAATCTTCTCTCCTATAGACTTGATAAGGTCTTATTGTAGAGACGCAGAGCGAAGCTATTGTTCGGAAATGTCAGGGAGCAACCTCTGGGCTGTGATTTATCTACAAAGAGATATAGACCTTCTAGAAATAGCAACAGAGGACACTAGAAAAAAAAAATCAAAAAGAAAAAGAAATCGAACAGTTAAATATTCCTTGCCATCGGCAAGATGCTAAATGCTAACCATTACATTCAGGATCAAATCACACTGAATGGGAATATGTCAAAGATGATTTAAGGTGGTATAAAACAAGCACAAGATGGAGATCAGCATGTATTCGCTAACCAATGTTGATATTTTTCAAGTTCATATTTAGGGGGAGGGAAGCTGTGCTGCAGTGTGAAGCCATTTGTGATCGTTGTAATGCCTCAAAATGATATATATTGTAATAGTAGACAAGGTACAATTAGTGTCCTAGCAATTGTTGGTTATTAGTACTGTCATGTGACTCTTTGCTAGGAGCAGGTGCAAGCATCACAATTAGCCACAGTATAGTAAATATACCCACAATCATTACACCAGGGTCACAATTACCCAAATAGTTAGTAAATATACTCCGGTATTACACAAGAGACACAATTAGCTACAGTGTCAGTAAATATGCTGAAACCTTATGTAAACCTATCAAATAGGCAATTTTTGTAAAATTACAGATGACCACTGTCGATTATGACCAAGAAGCTCCTAATACCTGGGGAGGTCCTGATAGCATTCATGAGGTCCTTTATTGCTAGGGCAAAGAGCAAGGGTGATAACTGTCCTATTTAATTGTCCTATTAAACGAACACTATAGTATTTAACACTTTAGGGTCAGGAAAACACATTTGTATTCCTGACCCTAAAGTGTTAAAACACTATTTAGGATGCCGGCTCCCTCCCGCACCCCTTAATTAGGTTTAAAATGTACCTTGGGCGTGGCCTAACAGTCAATGGAGTAGGACGCACTCATTCCGAGCTCCTAGGCCCCAACCTGATTTGCCCCGATTAACCAGCACAGCAACGCCGCAGAAAGCGCACCTCCATGGGGGGGAAAAAATCGACGGCTACCTACCGCAGCCCAGGTCACTCCGGCCCCTTCCCGACCGCCAGCCGGCCCGATGGACGAGTTCCTGGCCACGCCGCATGGCCTCCGCGACACGGGCAAGACCGGAACACCGGCCCTCGATTCCCCGGGCTCCAGCATAGCGGGCTCGGCACGGGAATCCAGCACCCCTGGCACCCTGTCCCAAATATCCGCAGACCTCGCCGCGATCTCAACGAGCATGATGACCCGGAAGGATAAAGGTGAAATGGTGGCTGAGCTGAGGGCCATAATAAGGGAGGAAATAGCGGCTGTGCGCACCGACCTCACGGCGCTGGAGCAGCGAGTAGACAGGTTGGAAGAGGAGCGCATACAATCCCAGCAGCACAGACAGGCAGCGGAACTGGCAACCACGAGGCAGGGCAACATCCTCCTGGACCTCCGCCGGCAGGTTGAGGATCTCGATAACCGCGGCCGGCGTAACAACATCAGAGTCAGAGGCCTGCCTGAATCCGAGGACGAGGTACCGCAGGAGATCCTGAATGGCCTATTTGCGCAACTACTAGGAGATGCAGCTCCTGGCGACTTCGGCATCGAAAGGGCCCACAGGGCACTCCGCGCCCCCAGAAGAGACGGGCAGCCAAGAGACATGATTTGCGCCCTCCTGTCATTCCCGCTAAAAGAATCTATAATGCGGGCAGCACGTGCACAGCAGCACATCACTTACATGGAAGCACAAATATCCCTTTACCAGGACTTATCTACCATCACCCTAGATGCCCGCAGGGCCCTGCGGCCTCTCACCCGAGCACTTCAGGAGCGACGAATTCCATACAAATGGGGATTTCCATTTAGCCTGCAGGCCCGGATGGGAAACGTATGGCACATCATCCGCTGGCCGAACGACGTGCCACGGTTTTTAAGAACCGCCAACTTACCTGCTATCTCAGTGCCAAACTGGATCCTGGAGGAACCCCCGGCGCGAGCCACAGGCCCATCTGAAGTGGCACACAACATCCACCTGGAGCCTGGACCACCAAGACGCAGAGGCGGCCCAATAGGCCCTGAGGAATAGAGGCCCCCACGCCACACGGACCAGTGGCCCCCCCTGGGTCATCCCATGCCAGATCAGGGCATTGCCTCCTGAGCTTACCCCAGCTATGATTATGGACGCCATGCAGATCCGATGACACCACGGCAGGGGTATGTACTTTTAAGTCCGCTGCCAGCTTGCATTAGCTAGTAGACAGGGAGGAAGGCCGCAGATAGGTGGGGAGGGAACTGAAGCCACTTTCGGGGAGCGGCCGGGAGCTAGGGCCCCATCAGCAAACCCACACACCCGGGCAAAAAGGGGGACATACCCCGTAGGTGGGGAGGGGATGATGGGCAGGGTACAAAGGGTCTGGACACCGACACCATCACCCGGGTCACACCCTGGGTCAAGACTGCTGAACTGAACAGGCGGCTCTAGCACACCGCTGCTCACGGACCAGAGCTGAGGGGGGGATGCGGGAGGGCGAGGGCAACGGGACATGCGGGCACACAGGGCTAGAGCTGGTAGGGGGGCTGGGACAAAGCTGGGCACTTCTTGTTCATGTTGTTTAGTTATACACGGTTCCGTTTATATCACCCAACACACATCACAGCCACTCACATGAGGGGACAACCACACACAATCTGCCTCACTGAGACAAGCAAGACGCCATGTTGGTACACCCCACTACGAAAGCCCAGGCACGCAGATAACTATCATGACGGAAATTCTGGGCGCAGGGAGAGACCACGTCCCAAACCAGCCCCTCTGAAGGGACGCAAACGTGGGAGCTGGCGAGCCACGCCCATAGGGTGGCCTCACAATGCAGCCCAACACATGTAGGACTGACTACCCCCAAACAGCGCCCTAACACCCTAGACACGCCGACTTGTAGCCAACGAACTGTAAGTTGCCAGGCGGGGGAGGGCAGACACGGAGGGCCCCGGGGTGTCCGGCAGACAAAACCAGTCGAATCCCCTGACAGCACCCGGCCATTAAGACCGGGAAGCCAGGAGAGCCGACCGTGACGGGGGGACCCACGGGTACCACTGACCATAATGCCGACAGGACCGGTAGGCTTATCCGCTCCCAGACCTCGGGACTGCGGTACAGGACACCACAGCCCGACCGACACTCTAAGTCCCGGGCGACTACTGCGGACCCCTAGGCTAGAGTAGGCAAACATGGCGATTGCACACACCCTTACAGGTTGGGTGCCGATGGAGAGGGGAGAGAACCAACCTCACTCAGATCCGAGACCGACTTCACTGTAAGTGACCATACGGAACCCCCACTGAGACAGACCCACACTGTACATTACACCGGCGTTCTCGTCGCTGAGGTTACCCACCAGGCTCGAGAACGAATACAACCGGTACAGGGTCAGAGTCACACCCGCACACCTAGAAGACACGCCAGACCGTTCACATCACCACCACAGACAGACAGACCCCCCCCACACTCACCACCTTTACATCATACAGACAACACTGCGGGGACGCCGCCCTGCCGCCGGGATGGACGCCTCGCGAGGATTTGTCCCGGCCCAACTGACATACTGGTCCAATAATGTTCAGGGGCTTAACACACCTGAAAAGCGCGCGCACCTGGTAAGGCGCCTATGGGCCGTGAGAGCCTCCGTGGCGTTCCTGCAGGAGACTCATCTCCGAGGACTGGACGCCCCCAAACTAGAGAACAGACGCTACCCGCAGGGATTCTACGCGAACCACCCGGACGCTAAGAGGGCTGGTGTGGCAATACTCTTTGCACAGACGACGCCGTTCCAACATATAGCAACGCAGGCGGACCCGAACGGCAGATTCCTTTTCATTAAGGGTACAATCATGGAACACATGTATACCTTCGCATGCCTCTACGGCCCGAATAGAAAGCAGCATACATTCCTGGCTCGGACGCTAGCCAAATTGGAGAAATTCAGAGACGGCCTCTTGGTCATGGCAGGTGACCTCAACTTACCACTGGACCCCCGCACGGACACCTCCAGAGGACAAACCGCGATCCCGGCGCACTGCATACGAGCAGCACTACGAGCTATACATAAACACGGCCTGGTGGATTGTTGGAGGGCATGTAACCCTGAAGGTAGAGACTACACCCATTATTCGACAGTCCATAAAAATTACAGTCGCATAGACTATATATTCCTGGCCCAGGAATACCTCAACCTCCTCCACGACGCACGAATAGGCATAATGGACCACACAGACCATGCACCACTGACGATCCGCACAAGCTCCCCACTATATAAACCCCGCGAAAGACACTGGAAACTGAATGAATCCCTACTGGACGATGCAGAGTGTAAGAGGGTGACTGCCCAAACCTTAACTGAATACTTTACTACCAACGAAGATACGGAGACGCCACCGTTAACGATATGGGAAGCTCACAAATGCGTCATACGGGGACATTTCATCGCCATAGGCACCAAACGCAAGAAGGAACGAACACGACGTATCACAACACTGCTAGACCGGATAGCTGACCTAGAAGGGGAACACAAGACGGACCTCGCAGACAGCACATACCTCCGCCTGACGGAAGCACGAAGGGAGCTGAAAGCCATACTATCACAAGGACTCCTACACACCGCGAGGAAGGCCTCCAGGTACTATTATGAACACTCGAACAAAAGTGGTAGGTTGCTAGCTAGGATGCTACAAGACAGAAGGAAAGCGCAACACGTTCACAAGATACGCACGAGCAGTGGAGACACAACCTGCCTCCCGGACGGCATACTGTCAGCGTTCCGGGAATACTACGCGGCGTTATATAACCAACCACGACTCCACCACAACAGAGACATAGGTAGCCATCGAGAACGGATAACCACATACCTTCAGAACCACATCACCCGTCAGCTTACCCCGGACCAGGAGGCGGAACTCGAAATGCCCTTGACGATTGAGGAACTATCTGGCGCACTGAAATCAACTAAAGCGCACAGGGCCCCGGGCCCAGACGGTCTACCAGTCTCGTACCTACGCTCCTTCAAAGACACCCTGCTGCCCAAACTTCTGATAGGCATCAACTCAATCAGAGATGGAGGCCAATTCCACAGAGACACCCTGGGAGCAACCGTGGCAATAATACCCAAAGAGGGTAAAGACCCAACAATCTGCGCCAGCTACAGGCCCATCTCTCTGATAAACGCGGACATCAAACTCTTCGCTAAGGCACTGGCACTCAGGATGGCCCGGACGCTTCCGGATCTGGTGCACCCGGACCAAGTGGGGTTTATCCCCGGAAGAGAAGCCAGAGATAACACTATTCGAGCCCTCAACACCATCCATACCGCTAAAACGGGCAAAAAGGAAATGGTCCTACTATCCACTGACGCTGAAAAAGCGTTTGACAGGGTGGACTGGGTCTATATGTCGGAAACCCTACGACATTTGGGATACGGTCCACACCTGCGGACCTGGATAACGGCTCTATACACCTCGCCCACAGCCCGCATAAGAATAAACGGAGCACTGACTGACTCGTTTGATATACATAACGGCACGAGACAGGGCTGCCCCCTGTCCCCACTCCTGTTTGCCCTCACCCTGGAGCCCTTCTTGGAGGCGGTCAGACAGGACAGGGGTATCACGGGGTGCAGCATAGGAGGAAGAGAACACCGGGTAGCGGCTTACGCTGACGACATGCTCTTCTTCCTGGAGCAACCCAGAACCTCCCTCCCACATCTCCTGGCGGCGTTTCGACAATACAAGGAGGTATCCGGCTTGACGCTTAATCTAGATAAGTCAGAGATATTGCTGCTCGCACAGGACAACATCCTCCAACGACACATCCAAGCACAATTCCCCTTCAAGATCTCCACAGCCAAGCTACACTACCTTGGGGTGTGGCTCCCGAGAGATTTGACACTTATCTACCGACTGAACTTTGCGCCCCTGCTCACCACCCTACAGCAAGACATGAAACGCTGGACACCTCTGTACATCTCGTGGTTTGGGCGCATCAGTGGAGTAAAGATGAACATTATGCCCAGATTATTATACCTGTTCCAGACACTACCAACGTACCTCCCGAGGGCATTTTTTCAGACCCTGACGACCGCAGTCAGGAACTTCGTCTGGAACCAAAAACCAGCGCGTATCCGAAGAGCGATTCTTGAACGCCCCAGAGGAGAAGGAGGTATGGGATTGCCGTCCATCCTCACGTATTACCACGCTACCCATCTGCACAGACTGGTTGATTGGCATGCAAACCCCAGTACAAAGCAATGGGTAGACCTGGAGAAACACCAAGCCCAGGGACGAATCCCCGCTTTGCTATGGCTGGGAGACGCACCACCCAAGGAACTACTTACCGGGAACCCAATGATCGACGCCACGCTGAAGGTGTGGTGTAGGATACGTTACTCCAAAAACCTCACGTCATCGCCCAACCCACTCACACCAATAACACACAATCCGAGGTTAGCGGGAGGGCTAAGCACGGCAGACCTGAAAAATCTCGGAGCAACGGACTGGGTATACGCTAGCCAATGGAATTCCGGGACGACACTCAAACCCCTGGCAACGCTGATGCAGGACCGTAGGCCCAGTGGCCTAGACACATTCCGATATCACCAAGTGAAAACATACCTCGACGGCATTGCGGGTAAAGGCCACCTACACCGCCCATTGCTGATGATGGAACATCTATGCACGGCCAGACAACACCTCTCACATGGAGTCTCACGCCTCTATACCGCGCTGCTAAGCGACGGCGATAAGAGCCCCCTAGGCTTCACATCGCGATGGGAAAGAGAGACCGGGATGGAACTTACGGAAAAGGAATGGCTTAAAATCTTTCAACTAACACACAGGGGGACCATCAGCTCCAAGTTCCAAGAATGCAACTACAAAATTCTAACAGGATGGTACCGGACGCCAGATATCCTGCAGCACGTGCATGAGTCAATTTCAAACGAATGTTGGAGATGCGGCACAGGAATAGGAACCAGCATTCACATCTGGTGGACATGCCCACGTATCGAACCGTTCTGGAGGATGATACATCAGACGACC